TTTTTTTTATTCCAAGTATCGCTCCAGCTTGTGAAACCTCCTCTAATTGCGCAAGAAAGTACTTTGTAAGCGATAATTGTCGCACTGATATATCGATGCGCTACGTGTGGCAAGTGTTTAGGGATGAAGTAATAATAAGTAATGTCTACTTTGGGTTTGTACTCATTGGTGGCATTACTTTTGTTTTTACTACAGGAAAGACGAACCAATTATCTTCCACAAACGGTTTGTTTCATCATAACGTCGTTTGACTAGCTTACACTGGTGATGGAACCAGTGGTTCTTCACCTACAGTTGATTATCAGAGAATCACATGAGCTTCGCACTGCGAATCTCTAATAAAAAAAATAAGTATAAGTCTGCCAACACAGAAACCTAATGAGGAAGAAAAATGTCCGTGAAAAAATTACAAAGGTGCACACCAAAAGAGTTGGTAATCTCGTGCCGCTGCACCGGATGCAACTTTGACTTTTAACAATAGACCGGAGTGATGGTTTTGTTATATCGAGTTGGGCTATTTATCGTATAAAAAGCGCGTTGTAACCTTCACTCGTGATTCGGAGTGTTTATAGATTATGTAAAAAGCTCGCCTATGCGTCTGAAAAAGCTTACGCAAGTTGTTATTATGAGTTATTGTGATGGACGAGCGTCGTGAATTATTAATTTGACTTTGTTGTTGGTTTTGCAAGAGCAGTTGTGGATGCGCTTGTCTTTTTTTTTGTGGCGACGCAATGGATTGGATACAATTGATTATTATTCTAGATACTTGGAAAAGGGATGAATGAAGAGGAAAAAAAATTGTTATTCAGAAAGTGGACTTCCGGTGATCTGATTCATTGATTAGAGCATTAATATTGACGTTATCAATAAGTGCCGATTTGTCATGGTCGTTCTAGGGAATCTCTGAATTAGCTACAGCCAAAAGATATTTTATCATTGAAATTGTACTGGTTACGACCAGTATTTTCATGGATACACATGCATCGATAAATCAACCATTCTACATATACACAGGATTATGTATGTTGGCAATAGACCATAAATTTTATAAGTTATCCAAATTTTACAGTGAGAATAAGTTGTTTGCTTATACAAGTGGCATTAGAGCTTTTAACAAATTGAATAACCAGATCTCATGGTTTTTCATTTATAATACTAATTCGACATTGCAATTGCAATCTTATAAAAATTAAGTATACCTTAGCTGATGTGTTATTCAAACGGCCTTGAACGAATGGTGTAAAACGCATTGACTTTTTTTTGCAACACTCATTTTCTAAGAACACTAATTTTTGCAATTACTTAAGTACTCACTGCTAGTACAAGTATTGTGAAAAATATTCAACAAGGAAAAATATCAGTTTTAACAAATCGCATAAATGTGTGAACTGACAAAAAAAAAAAATAAATAAAATAAGAGATGCCGATGTAAAGATGATTATCGCACCAGTAAATAAAACTTTCCCACCGAGAACTGCTTATACTATTTGCCGGTAAAGAAACGTGATAAGAAAGAAAAAAACATCATGACGGCGACGCTGTGGCTTGTGTTGTGTTTGTGCCTCAAGTTTCGGCTTGTGGTGCAGCAGCTGACATTGCAGCTGCGGATACGCTTTCGAGGGACGTGCATGCATTTTTTTTTTTACTCTTTGGTGGATTGAATTTTGCTCGATATATACACCGGCGTTGACAATGAGATTTTCTGAAATGCACAAATTTTATACGGTAACACAGATGGAAAAACATGTTTTCGATAAACTTTGAAAGTAAATTGAGAAGATGTTTTTTTTACATTCTGAATTAAACTAAATACTTGAGCATTCAATTTTTGTCGGTTCTTGTGAAATACTTAGGCATTTTAAAACAAAGCGTTTAAGCGTTTTAACATCTAATAAATGGAAATGATAAATCAGAAATTCAACTCTTAAGCGTTTGTTTTTAAAATACTTGAATTTACAATGTACTGAATTTTTTTTATTATTTTAGACACAGTTGGATGTGGTTTTTTAAAATGAATATTCACGTACATTCGATAATAATTACATAATTAATGAAGTAATAATACATATTTTTTATTTATCTTTATATTTTAAATTCATAAATATTTAATAAAATAGAGTATATATGCTTCTGTATTATAAAAAAATATCTATAACAACGTGTCCTACTTTCTATTTAAAAATTTGTATCGCTTGTTTCAATCATTATAAAATATACAAAAAAAACAAACAGATAAAGATCCCACAATCTTTAAAACGTATATTTGATACACAGTCGACTTTTTACGCGGTGAAAAAGAAACAATTTATAAAAAAAAAAAAACTAGTTCATCAACGAGAACGATTTATTCGGATCACGCAAATGCAAAAGATTAATTGATATTTGGAAAGGTGAAAACCACATCCCAAAGAATCGGAGCGCATTCATAAATGCCTCGTATGCACACTTGACCGACTTTTTTTCTTTCCCCGCTAATGGTGGAAAAGATTCGCGTTTGATAACAACTTCAATCGGTGCTGGGAAAAACACTTTAAAGCTTGGCTCGCCTCCTGCAATCAGTCATTAAAATTCATGGAATTCTCTGAGCTCACAATGCGCAAACAAGCAAAAAAATTCAGACTTTTTCAAGGGACCGGAAGTCGTATAATATAAGTATGGAGGTGACCTTAACAATAGGTTTTTTTTTTAAGCAATTCGATACAAACATATGTTTAAAATAAAATACTGTGACTCGTTGTCTCGGACTTACGAGATAAGTGACACTTTGGAACACTTTTTGACTCCAGAATTTGTGAGAATATACCACTAATGTCTTTTAAATGTGTTTTCCGATTGTTTTATCTTGGTCGTTCATACAATGACTTTGGCGTCTAAAATAAGCTTGTGATTTATTCGGCGTTTTTACAATAAGCATCACCTCGTAACTTTTAACGTTTTCAAAGTGTGAAGCTCGCGTGTGTTTGACTGCATTTAAGAATGTTTTTTCAGGGCTTGTTCATTCTTGGTTGATAATCAGATTTATTATTATTTTGAGCTGAAATACTTTCTTAGCGTTTTTTACTTTAAGAAAAATTGCGGATTTAATATATTTTCTCGTAAAAATACCACGTAATTGCATTTTAATGTAAATATTGAATTTTTGAAACAAAGAAAGCATAAGGGTACATATTGTAGAGAAAAGAACTACATTACTTTTTTTCTGTATACTTATACGGAAAAACTTTACGTATTACCATAAAAAGAGATGATAAATTTTGTTAACTGGCATAGCGTCTCAACTTTGCCATGTTCGATTTATCAAACATTGAAAAAGTCTGCCAGCTGTTCTTAAATTTCCGATCTGATGGCAACGTTATAGTCAATGTTACCTTTTCAATTTACGCGTTTGCCAAAAGTAAGGATGGTAGTTTTGGTCACAGAAGTGCAATCGCCTGTGGGGCTATTTTATGGCTATTCCTGCGAAACAGGCCTAAGGGATCGTAAAGTAGCCTCGAAAGGATGACACTTACGTGCCGAACACGGTTTTTCCTACCGATGACACACCAGTACTTTAAAAATACCCGAGGTAGGAAAAAGACTTGAAACCACAGCAAGTAAAAAAAAAATTAACCTTTTTTTTATTTAAGTAAAAAATATAGAAGAGGAGAAGGAATGGTTCTGCAAAATAGGTCACCCGAACTAGCAAATTGTACAGGTACACAAGTACAATCGTACATACAACTTAATGCTAATTTATATGGCGTTCGGACATTCGTAAACAAGGAGAAGCAACATCTTTTGTTGCTGAATGAAAGTATTTTCTTATCCACCCAATGTAAAAGTTGACCACTATACTGCAGTATACAAATATATTTCGGGGCATAACTATTTTTAATGAGATGTGAGTTTCTTATCGTAAAAAAAATTATGCAACATAAACACAGCAAATCTTGAAAGCAAACGCAAAAATTAGTCGAGGACTGGATTTGTTTCAACGCAAAAAGGAAGGAGTAGGGTTATTTGAAGTACATTCAGCTGTTGTACTTTATTCGAGACAAAAAAAAATGTATTCATCCACCCACGCACATAAGTCCTGAGCTGCAATAGTCGCTGAAACGTCAGTGCGGAATAGCCCCCCGAAACCGTAGAGTGCAACGAACCACCGGAAAGCGCGATCATTAACCCAAAAAATCCGTGACCCGTCACGTAAGAAAGAAACACCCCCCCGCTCGCCCAAAAAACAATGGTTGAAAAAAAAAAGACCCACCATTTTCGCGTAGACAGAGTTGAGCGTGCTGAGGTCCCAAGCGCTCTTGGCCTGCTTCTGAAAGCCTGGCTTGCCCTTCTTGCTGGGCCTCTTGAGGCTCGAGAACCAGCTGGTCGCGAGGGCCATGGTCGAACGGCGCCTCTCGGAGTCGCGCACCGCCACCACCTGCATCTGCTCGTTTCGGTAGCGGTGCACGTCGTCGAGCGCGTCCACCGACCTCCCCGTGAAAATCATTGCTCCCGTGGGTTTCTCCTCCCTGTCATCCGGATCCCCGGTGCTTTTCACTACTGGCCCACGGACAACGAGCCGCTGCTGACGACTCGTTTTTCGCACTTATTTCCAACGCGATGGCTCACTGGGTTTCAATAGGCACTACTGCGAAAGCTCGTCGAGTGGAAAATTGAATTTCGTTCGTACAACCACGTCACTTAACACACCAACCCTGCTCACCCTCGCAAGCAAAGGCGTTCGACCAAATTTTAATGGGTACGAAAAAAAAAAGCTCAATCACCCTCGCACCGACACTCGCACTTATACGCACACAATTCTACTCAAATTCTAATGTAACAAGTACGAATTAATTTGAAAAAAAAAGAAAATCTTTTGTGACAAGGCAAACCCGTACGAGGCTCCGGAGCCTCGAGTTGCGGTAGCGCTGACAGCAGCCGGTGTGCGACTAAAGCCCGGACGGCTCGTTCCAACAACGCTTTGCTCTCCGAGCGCGGAGCCGCATGCGCGCCGTTCTCACTCCGCGCAGAGCACGTACTAGAGTTTTTGAACTTTGGCGCGCTTATCGTGTATATAACATACACGCACCGGAGGATGCTGCCGCGCCCGTTATTCCGTAGGTGAGTGCTTTTTTCCCGTTTTTTTTTTTTTTTCCTTCGACTTCGTGCCACCGACTTTATCCGGGGAGATAGAAACTCTTGTTCTGCAAGAGAACGAACGAGTGGGTATCTTGCGTTTCTTGGAGTCGCGAGACCAATGTGCGAGTCTTATCCGGTTGCTGGATGCGACGGGTTTCTTGGGGGATTTTTTTTTGGGGGGGGGACGTATAGCTCGGCGTTCAAGAGGTAAAGGGCTGACTATTTGTTTTTTTAATGGAAAATGGTACTGAGATTTTCTGGATTTCGAGGAAACTCGGATTTCCAGCGGTAGAAATGCTCCTTTACGAGAGAGAAAATTCTTCGTAGGTGCAGTTTTGATAGATAACAGATGATTATAAAAGGGGTACTATACTGTGTAATTTTCGTTTTCTTCCTGAAATGGTTGTTTTTTTTTTTAAATCAAAAATCAAAGTTGTGTCTGTTTGTTGGATAGGAAAATCAGATACTAATTATTTCAACATAAAACTGAGAATAGTAAAATACTATTCTAGAAATTTACTTTTTTAACCTAAAATCGAGATGCTGCTTTTTCCAGTAAAAGTGTAAACTTTTATTTTCAATCAATATTAAAGATAATGTATCTTTTACAGTATAAGAAGTGAAACACCTTTTAATAAGAAAAATCGAGATATTATTTTATTTTTCGATGCCAAAAGTCGATATACTTTTTTCTTGTTGATATTTGTGAACTTGGCATAATGTACAAAGAAAAAAAATACAAAGGTTTTTTCAACCGAGAATTCAGATATAGTAATAAAATTTCCGACAGTATCTTTTCATCACGAAAAATATAATAAATTTTAATTTAAAAAAGTCGACATACCATCATTTTTTATTTTAAATCAACTAAGAATATTTTTTAACTAAAGAAAAGAAATAATTTTTTTGCTTCAAGAATAACAATACTGCTAATTTCTTTAAAAAACTGAATTTGTATGTTTTTTAACTTGGAAACACGAGGTACCACTTTTCCTTTTTAGTCATCGATTTATTATGTTTTGGGGTGTAGCATTTGTAATTGTATTCTTCTTCGCGTATCTCTATCTCGGATATTTCTGTATGCAGTATTGTCGTATAAATACACAATGAAACGCATTGTTTGGTGCGTAATCGCTGCTGCTGTTGCTGCAATGCTGTCTCTTCGTTTTGCCTGGTCACACCCGAGATATGCAAATGCAGTCAGTCGACTCGCTTGGTGAGTATATAATATATGCCAAATTCCGATTAAGTTGGAAAATAAATAAAAATCATCTTACGATGTCTCTAACATTTATGTTTAAAAAATAATGTATGCAAATAATTCACTGTATTTTTCTGGTTATTCGTATTAGTATTTTTATCATTTTGGATAGTAAGTTTTTTTTATAAAAAAGAATACCTAACATTATTCTTAATAATAATAAAAATTTGTACATGTGGAATTTCAACATTTTTACGGCTAGTCACACGAATTAAAAAAAAAAAAAAAGATCCCGTAGGTAGATCGGTTTTGGAATTTCCAATTGAAAATGAATTCTCGTATGACAGGATGTCAATCACCTCTTCTGATTTTTTATTATAAGTATATGTACATATATTATAATATGTGATATACGAAAGTGACTGAGGAACTTGTACGTACTATATCAAGACAGCTGTTCATGGAATAAAGTTCGTCACAATTGTAAAATTATAAATTTGATAAAATTTCTATTCATGACAACTATCTACCGACCTATTCGACGAATTTTTCTGCTTAATAATAATGATAATAATAATAATAATAATAATAATAATAATAATAATAATAATAATAAAATCTAACATTTAAAAATTAATCCATGTTCAAATCTGATTAGACTATTCAGCCAGCGGTTAACGACCCAGCGCTCACGGATAAACAACAACGATCGCAAGTCTTGTGAATCCTGTTCGTAAAAAAAATAATTCCTACGGCCCAATACCTAAGCTTGGAAAACGGAACATACGCCTTTTAAAAATAGTATGCAAAAAAAGAAAGGCACGCTCGAGCAACAAAGTCCCCGATAAAAATTATACACCACGTATACGCACGCACGCTTAAAAATCGACATCATAAAAACAATGACAGCGTCTAAAAATACGCGTAGGCACATGTACGCGTATACACTTTCTATCTCGCACCTGTTCTCCCGAAAGGCCTCGTCGACGTAACCCGTGTGTCCAGCCTGCCCATACCCACGCACGCAACTTATAATCTTCTTCGTACATCAATATTTATGTAAAGAGAACACGCGCGCGCTCGACCTTGCAGTTTGATAAAAAAAATTGCAGCCTTCGATACAGCACGGACATCAAATTTTTCTCCCTACAGAAATGATAAAGGGTTTTTCTTGATTCCTATTGTGTTATTAGAGTGATGGGATCTGGTTGCAATTATTTCCGTGATGGGGTTGAAACTCGACATCTATTTGAGGCTTTATCTTCTTACGACGTGTATATTTAGGTGGTCACGACATTTGCGTGGATTACCCGCTGAGATCCAAGATATGAGTTGCAGTGTCTAAATGGTTCATTGTCACGAAAGAGTCTGGTGTAATTGTCTAAGGATAGCTTGTACATTGAGAGGTTTCATCAGTAGCTTACTCTTTTATGACAAATTTTATTTTTTTAGTTAAAGAATTAACTTAGCGATTGCAATAAATATTTTAATGTTTGGATTTTAAACTGTGCAGTGCACTTAGTAGTGAAAGGTAAAGTTTTACGGATTTTGGTTTCAGAACGAGGAAGTATATTATTTGAACGACGTAAGTAAATCGATAAATGTTGAGCTCTTTTTCTCCATAACGCTTGTCCAAAAAACAAATTTTCTTTAATCAAAAAAGATAATCCGATATTCCTATCCCAGCTACGCCCTCAAACTGAACAAAACGATACGCAGCTCGGGATAGCGCGCTTAATGGCTCTTTCGATTGCTCCCACAACCCTTCCAACCATTGGACCACATCTAAACGCCATATGGAGCGTATGCATCCACAAATCGATTACAATGGAGCCACAAGCCACAAGGAAATAGATGGTAGGGTCCATTCCCCGAGTGTCATTGATAAATATATTTCATACGAGCGTGGGTATATGCATCTGTATGAGTACGTAGTCTCTCTACATGAGACTGTTGTCCGAAGGTTTGAGATTTAATATATTCAGAAGGGAGGCTGCGTTTATTTGATAAAAGATTATTCAAAAAGGATTTGATGAACGAACTGGTTGCACATGTGACGTTTACGATGATTGAATACTGTTTTTCGTGGGAGGGTGACACTTTTGTAAATATTGATCATACGCCGGTGATGCATTTTTCACTACCCTTAATCGTTGTAAGCTTTTAAAACGCTAAAAAAATATAGTTTTTTTTTTTTTTGCTAGGAAACAACTTTACGCACATTATTAACAGATGTAAAAGTATGGGTATTTTTGAACTACTTTGATTTTTCAAGACTATTTGACTAGGATGAGTGATGTTTATTGACGGAAGGAAGTAAATAAATTGCATTATATTCATTCAAGACAAAAGTAGAAGAAATTTTTTTAATGTCATTCATTTCCATTACTTAAAATATTCCTGACATTTAAAATGATGTTTTCAATCGTGTTGAGTACGGTACAATCAAAGCTGTTATAATTTATAAAGTTCATATCGCTTGAAACGAAGTCAATAACATTGACAAAGTTGATGAAGTCTGATTATTGGAAAAATATTCAGCATCTACGCTTAGTGTTGCAGCAAAAGTTTTTCTTCTTCTTTAAAATAATATCAAGTATCACGTAAAGAATAAGTATTATATGGCATCGTGAATGCTACGAAGTTTGATTTAGCCCCTTAAAAATTTTAAGATATGTTATTCATCTAATATTGTGCAAATTAATAGTTGATATTTAGATTTCTTGACAATTTCTTGTTAGAATTGACATTGTACTGGGATTGTCTTTAGAGAACTACATTCTATCAGTACATTTTTGTTCATGTCCTCAATAGAACATCTTGTTGCATTTATTTTTTAAATCATAAAGGAAAATCTATAAAAAAACTACGCCTTATGTTAAGAGAACAATTCTACTGACCTACCAGGTTGTACACTTATACTTCGGAAGTAAAACCACAAAATAAATTTTTCGTCATGCGGCTAAAAAACGTCATCAAAAAGGTCTTTCTGGATAAAATTATTGTATACACGTTTTAAATCAATATGAAACTATCGAAGACGCGTAGAAACTTGTATCGACTAATTATTGGTTTTTCAAACTTTTTAATCAATCATTCAAATTGTGTATGATAACATATAATTATTTAAACTTTTTCAAAAGTAGTAATTTATCAATTACCTAAACTATTAATATTACAATGAATATAATTTCTGTTTTTAATTTTCTTTTTTTCAATTGAATTAAATAGCAGTTTGCAAAAATAATAGAAAATCATTTTTTTTGAATAATACATCAAGACGAAAAAATAAAGAAGACACATATTACAGAACACGAACATCATTATCATACATATCATACCCTGAGCTGGTCACCCTGACCTCAACTCACGTGTACTTAATAGGTACACAACGCAAACCTGCACGGCCATTCATTCAGGTGTAAGGCACTGTATACTTAGCCTCGTAAAACGCAAAGTTCCGCAGTTAGCC